AACAAAACGAAAATTTTCTACTTCGCCATTTATTGCATTAAAACAAATTTTTCCATTTCTAAGAGTCTGTACAAAGTCTACTCATAACTAGTATTAACATGAAGGTTTAGATATACATCTGTTGATAGGACAAAATTTACAATAGTGAATTTGAACAAAAGTCACAAAGGGAAAATTTCATCATAACTATGACTTCTTCCAAAGTTGGTTCTGTTGTGTCTTCAACTAGGGAAGCTGGAATTACTCTGAAAATTTTTTTACCATAGTTTGATGAGTTTGGCTACTCAGTAAGTGATCATCATAGTCCTCAAAATAATAATAGTCGTAAGATGTAAGCATTTTAAAAAAGGGAGGTCTATTGGAAACAATGCGAGCAAAAAGCATTTATGGATAACAATTTCACTTTCAGAAATGCACAGTTAAACATAATCCAAATGATTGAAATGCATATAAATATTTTAACAGCAATGCATAATTCAAAAGATTTCCCAAAATACCCTACTAGTGTCCCAAGTAGGTCATCTATATACCCCATCAGCGTTCTGGACAGGTCCAAACAATCCCTGCAGGTCCAAACATACCTCACTGGTGTCCCGGATGAGTCCAAATAGTCCCTACCGGCATAACCAGATAGGTCCAAACAATCCCTGCAGGTCTAAACATACCTCACCGACATCCTGATGAGTCCAAATAGTCCCTAGTGACATAATCAGATAGGTCCAAACAATCCCTGTAGATCCAAACGTACCTCATCGGCATACCAGATAAGTCCAAATAGTCCCTATCGGCGTCTTGGATAGGTCCACACATACTTAAATTATCTCGGAAACTCTTTAACATCAGAAAGCATCAACATCGTATATTCAAAGTATCATTGAAATCATTAACATAAATTCACTTAAAGCAATTTAAACAATTACTTTCATTGAAATATTTGTAAGTAACCAATCAAACAATTTGGATAAAAATAGCAGAAAGGTAGCAAATCAAACAGGTATATTTGAAATGGAATCCAATAGGCAGTCGATTATCAATTTAAGAGCTTTTATAGAAATCCAAGGTTAAACACATAAATATTACAATTTTATGGGATGTAATTTCATAATTAATTATTTTACAGGAATAGGTAAAACTTATAGTATCTAAAATTCATAGACAAACAAAAATACAATTAAATGCAGAAATACGTAAATCTCACAGTATTGGCAGTTTTATAATTAATTACAAAAATATCAATTTTTCACATAATGATTTTACCAGAAATGACATCACTTATACATAAATTTCACAGTGTCTAAAAGTCATAATACTAGGCAGAAATTTTATTTTTAATAATTTACAATGTCTAAATTTCTAATAAACAAAAATAATAATTTTAACAGAAAAAAAATTATACCATATGCTCCTAAAATTACAGTATAAAATGGGTGAACAGACTATTTTTCAGGATAATGAGATCATTTACCTATAATATTTGAGAGGGAACTTTCGGTAAAATTCGGCTAGAGAGAAGGAGTTCACTGCGTTCTTTAATTCACAAAGAGGGCTCAACGTTACTGAGAGGGAGGGGCGTAAGAGAGAGTGTTTTTGCAGAGAGAATCCAACTTGTTCTCCTCTTTTAAAAACAAAAAAAAGTATTATAATATATTATTAACCCACCTCATACATGAGGTGTTTAG